CTCCGCAATGTGATGACCACTGCGGAAGTTTTCGGCGGAGTGAGCGAAGGCTGCACCCTGACAGACCTCTCTATAACTGCCACTCGCCCAGCCGAGGGCCCTGCGCCGCGACTCACTCCATGGTCCTCTGTCCGGCCAACACGGCCACTTCCCCCACTCACAGGGGGAAGGACCGGCACAGCGGGAGAACCACCCTTCTTTCCCTTTCCCTTCTTTTTGCTGACGGTCGCCCAGCTTCCGTCACTAGGAACTCCAGAGACCCGGGGCCCCGAATGACCTGGGGCCTCCGGGACTCTGCTCCCCTCAAAATCTTCGGGGCCCCGGGTCCCCACCACATTCGGAGCCACCGTGCCCCGACCCCCCAACGAACCCTCACGGGTGCTTGAGCCCAGGGGCCCTGCGAAATTCGGGGCCACCGGCCCCCCTCTCCACAAAACGCTCAGGGGCTCCCGGACCACGGGCCGATGCCGCCAGCGGAGGACGCAGCACAGGCTCAGGGAGGAGCCTGTCCCCAATCCCCGCAAGCTTGGCATCTAGCATGCCCCCAACAGCCCGCATCACCTCCCCCATAAGGCTCTCCTTCACCCCATCCAAAAGCCCCTCCATCATTTGACGGAGGGCATCCGGAGTGGAGGGACCCTCCACCGACACGGGGTGTCCCTTTGTCTGCGCTAAGTGCGCAGTGCTCTCATTGAACTCCCTCCTAAGGGCCGCAAGCTCCAGACCCAGGTCTTTTACCTGGGCCCTCAGGCGAACATTGTCCCTTAGGACACGCCTCCCCCTCATCCCCTCCCAGGCATCTCTCCGCGAGATCCTCCACGATCTCAGCCACCTCCTTGGCTGCAACCTTCAGGTCGCGGACAAACTCACCCTTGAGGTTGCCCGACTTCGCCGCAATTTCGAAAATGCGACGAACCCGCACAGCCGTCCGCTCCTTCATCTCAGGAATGCCAAGGAGGATAACATCGTCCAACTCCTCCTCCCCGGATGACCTCACTAACCTGATATCCACACTGGCGGGAGCCCCATAATCGGAGACATTCCCCGCACCTTCTAACCTCTCTGCAAGGCGAGAGCGAGCGTTCTGACGCCGCAACTCTCCCTCCGCCTCCTCCAACCCTACCACATGAGAAGCCGCCTTTTTCGGCTTACCCTTGGCCGGTGGAGAGCAAGTTTCCTTGTTGTTGCCAACCGGGCTTTTAGTATGCGCCCGCTTCCTCTCACCGGAGCACTCCACGATACCCACATCGTCGTCGCTATCAGAGGACGACGAAAACACCAACCCTTTAGCTCGCCTCATATTAAGGTGCTACTAGATCCTACCCCCAACTAACATTAGAGTCGACGACTCTACCCCCGACTCTACCCCCGACTCTACCCCCGACTCTACCCCCCGACTCTACCCCCGACTCTACCCCCGACTCTACCCCCGACTCTACCCCCGACTCTACCCCCCGACGACTCTACCTCCGACTCTACCACCGACTCTACCCCCGACTCTACCCCCCGACTCTACCCCCGACTCTACCCCCGACTCTACCACTACCCCCGACTCTACCCCCGACTCTACCCCCGACTCTACCACTACCCCCGACTCTACCCCCGACTCTACCCCCGACTCTACCACCGACCCTTCCCCGACTCTACCTCCGCCCAGAACTCTATCCCTCCACCCAATAAATATATAAATAAATAAATAGATAAATAAATAGAGACCTGGCAACACCACACAAAAACAATCTTAATTCTAAAATCTTAATTCTAAAATCTTAATTGTAAAAAATTAAAACCAAAACTTAAAGTCTTAATCCGCTTCGGTGTGACGAAGTCCAATCTTCGGACGCCCACTCACTTCGGTGTGAGAGACGTCCAACCTTCAGCTGTCCACCAAGCTTGTCAACAACAAGATGGCGAACCAACACGTCACGGAAAAACCCCAACCTTGCCACCAAACTTGTAAACAACAAGATGGCGGACCGACGCTTCACTAGTTTGCCCGACCTTGGCACCCAACTAGCAAACAAGATGGCGGCCGACAATTCACTTGCTGCAACTTATATTATATTGGCCAAATTAATGGGCCAAAGATAAATAATTGAACACTCACGGTTGCACCGTAATCCCACAATGAAGACACATACAATTTATGTGTCGTCGCGACACATAAAAGGTAACACAAACACAAACACCGGGTCAATTTCCCCTCACTTTAGCCTTGTAGTTATAAAGAATATAACTACGAAGTGCACACAAACATACAAAGAAGCAGTAATTGCTACTGAATCTTTTATGCCAACTCATAGGATTTTCCGCCACTAAAAACCCACCATTGGAATTTTCCAAACGCGGAGCGAACGAAAACACAGTTGTCGCTACGACAGCTCGACGCGTACTAAAAAGGAATGTCCAATTACTTAACCACTTGTAATTGCCACCCTCGGCCTTGAGCGTATTGCTACGTTCTAAGCCTTCACAGGAGTATCAATATAGTTGGGTGCCCACTGCACACTATAGAATCTCAACCGTGCCCACCATGTACGGTTTAAACACTCGCTCGGCACCGTACAGCCCTACCAAAGGCCGAGAATAAATATAAATTTACACTCGGACCGGGAATCGAACCCGGAACCTCACACCCACCACGGTCACATACAAAGCCGTTTGGCTATGAGGCCCTTAACCTAACCTAACCTAACCTAACCTAACCTAACCTAACCTAACCTAACCTAACCTAACCTAACCTAACCTAACCTAACCTAACCTAACCTAACCTAACCTAACCTAACCTAACCTAACCTAACCTAACCTAACCTAACCTAACCTAACCTAACCTAACCTAACCTAACCTAACCTAACCTAACCTAACCTAACCTAACCCAACCCAACCCAACCTAACCTAACCTAACCTAACCTAACCTAACCTAACCCAACCTAACCTAACCTAACCTAACCTAACCTAACCTAACCTAACCTAACCTAACCTAACCCTAACCTAACCTAACCTAACCTAACCTAACCTAACCTAACCTAACCTAACCTAACCTAACCTAACCTAACCTAACCTAACCTAACCTAACCTAACCTAACCTAACCTAACCTAACCTAACCTAACCTAACCTAACCTAACCTAACCTCGTCGAAGACGTAATATACAAGCATAGGCTTCTTATGTTGTGTTTGCCATACAACGTCATCGCGTTTTACTGTACATCTAGCGCCATCTAGTATACTTGATGAAAACTAAGCCTACTGCAGGACCGCTCTCTCTTATAAATCTAGGAAACAATTAAATTTCTTGATTATTTGTATTGTTGTTTTAATCTTTTGATTTCGTTATATAACATTTTATTAGATACTAAAGCCACGGAGATATATATTATATGCAAGCATGTTTAAAAATATTATGTTTTGTTTAATTAATTTTACCTGCCTTTCATACTATCAATTTATGAACTAACTGCATAAGTCACATTGCATAGCAGATATTTAAAATATATATGCCATGTTATTTTATAATAATAAAAGAGCAATATAATAAATTTCACATTTTATTTTGCGATAAAATTAACTTTCTACACACTATTAAAGTAACCGAAACAAAAATACTAAACCTAAAAGAGTTCGGAGTTCCGATGTCGGCCACCGAACCGGCCTCCTCGCCGTTGGCCTAATTACGGCTGTAATAAGCCGTTATGTTATTTTATTTATTTGTTCAGATAAAATAGTCCATCATTATGTTATTTTAAACTTATAGACTAGTGTGAGTATACTATTATTTAAAAAAAAAAAAAAGCTAAACATAAAACGCACAAAATGACCCACGGGAAGCGAAGACAGTCTTCACGATGCTGTTCGGACCGCGAGAAGGCAGAAAGGATTGCAGACAAATATATCTAACTAGCTGACCCGGACGAACTCCGTTCCGCCTAACAGTCTAATGATGTCGTGTTAACTTTAGTTAAACTTCATTTAGGTAACATTAATACAGCTGTTTTGTCGCTCGTTTTGCTGAATATGGCAAGTCTCGCATGGTCTCTTTACATGCTTCGTAAGCTTGCGTTGATTCAGCGTTCCAGTCGATCCGCTTCTTGACGTTTAGTCCAGTCAAATTATGGCTAAAAACGGGTTAAATAAACATGAGCGAACACACTTTGGGGATTTTGAGGATCGATAGGGGGGTGTATTCTGAGCATAAATTCCAATTTGAGGGGTTGTACTGAGGTCAGCTCAAGGTCATTTCGATGGAAACGCGTTTAATTCGATATCTCGAGAATGGTTAGTGTTAGGCGAAAAATTGTAGAGACCTTTTCTTTTCCTAACTAAATTTACTAACTTTTTTATCTGAAACTTTTTTTTATAACATTAATATTTTTCAAGTTATTACTCCCGCAAGGCAAAAACTTTACTTTTTTTTCCATTTTTCGTCGTTTTCTCCCCAACCATTCAATTTTATTAAATTTTACCGATCATCGAAGTGTAGATCTTTAGATCTTTAAGCTTTTTTCCGTAATGCCAATACCTTCGGAGTTATAGATTACTTTACCGAGCGAAATCCGCGCCATTGTCGCAACGTGTATCCACAGACACACTGTTGCGTATTAGTGCGAGTAAAGTCGGAAACACACTTACGTGTCGTGGCGTGTCGTGACGCGCCAGAAGCAGATTTTAATATGACTAGACAGAACGTGTTGCGACACGACACAACATGCAAATATGTTTCTAATCATATTAAATGTATGAAACCAATATGCTTCTGGCGCGTCACGACACGCCACGACACGTGTGTTTGCGACTTAAGGAACATCTGTCCTCGACTTTTATACCTGGGGTAACCCTCGTCCTATGGAATCTATTTTTAGCCTAAGAAGGGGTCGGCGTAAAGGGAAGTGAAAGTGAGCATAACCGTTCAGTCGATCAGTGTACTCTTGGCTTCTACGCAGTGAGGATCAAAAATCGTATATTGTTTGTTTTTAAATGTTTTACAGCTGCCTGAAGTAAAAATGGGCGACGATTGTTTTATATGCAGCAAAACGTTAAGTGAAGGAGAAGTGATTACGGTGAAAAAAAAACGGATTGAAACACTTATAAAAGCCAGTGTGATAAGGGGACATAAGGAACATGAGCGCATGTTAACGTCTCTATCGAGTATAAGGTAATATTGATTATTTTTTTAACGTTATAAAAATTATTTTCCATAATTACAAAATTTTCTAGTGTTTACTCGTGGTATTAATTTTTTATTAGGGTACATTCTTCGTGTCAAAGACATTATGGAGATGAGAGAGCTGCTGCAGCTGTTGTACGGCGAAGTTTGTCGTCAGACTCTTCGTCGTCATTGCCATCATTGACACCTTTACCCGTACCAGAAGAAGAGGAATTCGATTTCAAAAATGCGTGCTTCATTTGCACCGAAAATATCCCCGAAAACGTCCAAGAAACCAACCAACGCGTACGCCTCAAGCAACGAATTCGAATAAGTACGGTGAGGTCATTTTCAGCGGTGAAAAAATCTATGTTGTCGATCTTAAAGAGCCGAAATGATGAGGTGTCTCAGTCGGTTAATGACCGCATTGAAAAAATCTCCAGATTTGCTTTCGCTAAGTGAAGTTTTTCTGCAAGACAAAGCAGATAAAACAACTATCGCTTCAAACGGCGAACAATTCATTTTGAATTTGTATCACAAGGCAGGTGACATGAATTGTACCAATCTCAACGAGCTCCGATATAAGGGATATAAAAAAATGGCAGGCAGTGGAAGGGTTAAATTAGAATCCCTTCCTCCTACCTCTGATGCGGCATTTTTCCACTCGTTGAGGTGTTTCTACCAAGTTCAATACTGGCTGGAAAATTATCTGGAACCCGAGGAATGGGGCTGGCGTCGCACCCCCCGTGGATTGCAGCCGATAGCGATGTCATTGAAACCAGCTCCGGATAATTTAATGAGATCGATTGCGTGCAAATGCAAAACCAAATGCGGCAAAGCGTGCGGATGCAGAAAGGCCGGCCTCTCGGTGCTCAGTGATTTGCACCAATTGCCAAGAGAACTATTGTTCGAATGTCGCGAACGTTATCGACGATGATGATCTTGACGCAATGGACGAGGGCGACGTATGCCCCGATACCGTCAGGACCACGAATATTCACGCATCACTTCCATCGACCTCGGGTGCTTAATATTCCGAATTTTATAACCTATTTTTCTATCAATAAATGTGTGAAACAGTTTTAATTGTTAATTTACTTCTTACCCAAATTAAGTACCTAATTTTTAAATAGTTTAATCGATTGACCTTTTTATATTGCGACAGTGGCGCGGATTTCGCTCGGTAAAGTAATCTATAACTCCGAAGGTTTTTTAGGAAGGAAGGATTGGCATTACGGAAAAAAGCTCACGAACAAAATTGTTCATAATTAAAAGATCTACACTTCTTTGATCGGTAAAATTTAATAAAATTGAATGGTTGGGGAGAAAACGACGAAAAATGGAAAAAAAGTAAAATTTTTGCCTTGCGGGAGTAATAACTTGAAAAATATTAATGTTATAAAAAAAATTTCAGATAAAAAAGTTAGTAAATTTAGTTAGGAAAAGAAAAGGTCTCTACAATTTTTCGCCTAACACTAACCATTCTCGAGATATCGAATTAAACGCGTTTCCATCGAAATGACCTTGAGCTGACCTCAGTACAACTCCTCAAATTGGAATTTATGCTCAGAATACACCCCCCTATCGATCCTCAAAATCCCAAAACTGTGTTCGCTCATGTTTATTTATTTCGTAATTTGACTGGAGTAGTTGTGCAGGTATTTAGACGGCGTGTTTGATATTTTCACGTCGCAGTTCTTCCACGGTTTTGGTTTTGGAAAATTGGTAAAACGAAAACATTTTGACAGGTCGATAGTGATGCCGTATTCTTCGAGTGCGTAGATGTTTTCGGTGCTCTTCCTCGGTCGATGCTATGAGTAGGTCGTCAACGAAGGGGAATACGAAGTCCAGTTCGCGCAGTGCTTCGGGAATAAGCGTTGGAAAGTCTGTCCGGCGTTCTTTACCGGGACACGTGCGCGGGAACTCGAAAAGGCCAAATGGTGTGTTGATGGCGGTTTTCTCCACGTTTTGCTCGCTGACCGGTAGTTGTTGGTATGTGGTGAGGTTGAGGTCGAGGGTGGAGAAAATTTTCTTTCCGGCGAGTTGTAAAGTCTACTTATTATCAATTGAAGAATAGTTGAAATTAAATAATTTCTTTATTCGGGTGCCTCGTCATTTAAACAAATGTGATATTCTTCTTCACAGGAATTTTCTGCTTTTGGTCGTCTGAAATTAGTAAGTACATAATTTAATAAAAAATAAATAAATAAAAAAATATGAAGCTCAGACAGAGAAAGAAGCCATTCTTGATCATTTTGAGAAAACAGGAGACGAGGGGTGATCGAGAATCTTATCTACATTATTGAATAATAAAAAATAAAAAAAAATAAAAAAGTGAAACTTTGTAAATTAATTATTGAGTAATTAAGCTGCCCAAATCCCATAATTTAATTTTGCCAGTCTTTCTATTAATGAACGATACTAAGGCTAATCAAAAACCAGAACTAAAATTAGTTGTTGTTATGTATATTTTCTATATATTATGTACATATATAGAAAATATTTTCTAAAATAGCCAACTGGGTCTTAGCAAAAAAGGTCTTGATTCTGTGCCATTATAAAAATACTTTTAATAAGATAATAATGATATGTACTAAAAACACCATCGGTGTTCAAGTATGAATGATTGCACAACAATATTATACTAGCACATATTAAAATATATAAAATTGTCAAAAAAATAAAAAACAATTTTTTAGGGATGGACACCCCTTATCACTTAGGGGTTTGAAATATAGATAGATAGAAGAATCGGTCGAAGCCGTTTCGGAGGAGTATGGGAACGACCATTGTGACACGAGTATTGCGAAACTTATTGTTTGAGATTAAATTACATCCACAAGATAATATTAAACCAGCTTACCTTCTCAAATTCCACGGTCTGACTTCCAGGAGAACTCATCAAACCCTCGAGTGGATATGATGAAATGTCTCTGTGGGCAGCCGTTGCGGTCCCAATGCTATTGATACTGAAATACATTTAGGCTAAAATGAAATTCTCGTTATACTGTATGGATAATATGTCAAAATATATTATTTTAACTATCCAAGACACTTTACGCCAGTACTACACAAGTCACAAGTTGTCTAACGAAGTAAATAATTTAATAAACTCGTATTTATGTCCTAATAATAAGGTAGTTTTTTTCAGCGGTGCATGTTTCATACATACATAAGATTATTTTACCTACTATAACAATATTATAAAATTGCAATGAACGCAACCTTATAAACTTGACACAATGTTAAATTCATGTTATTATTATTAATTTCAAGAAACTTTCTGTAAAGAACTTTTGTTTTACTTGAGCCGAGCCGGCAGGCGCTCCATGACTCAACGCTGAACGCCAATTCGTTGACAGGTTGTAATTGACGCCAAAAATGGCATAACCACAGATTATGACTGTGACTATAAAAGTTGCACATATTTGTAAAGTTATTCGTAATTGATCAAAGCAACCCTATGCGTTCTAGAAATACTATCGTGATTATATAAACCTGCTCTATTTAAATACTTTTCTTTTTTCTGCTAACCTTTAAAGTTTTTTGTAGCGTCAATATTGCAATTTTACTCTAGACGCTAGATGGCGCTACTTGCACCATAATCAATTATTATAATAAAAAAATGTTTCTATGTAATTTTTAGTAAATGGTTAAGAGCTCTTGTTAACGAACGTTTTTGTCAACGGGTAACGGGCCGACGCAAAACGGCTACCTTTGTACACGATACGCTAAATATAACGTGAACGCGTCCGTTGTTGTCGATATCAGTTCTATTAAATTTGAAGGGAGAAGTGCACGTACGTTGATTATTATTTATCAGATAATGTCTCAAAATCTTCATTTAGCATTACGAAGATTTCTTTCCATGCCGCAAAATTTGCTTGTTTATTTTTGTAATTTTCTATAGTTTTGTCCCATAACATAGGCCTATTCTGAACAAGGCTAATTAATAAATCCATATCAATGGTAAACTCCATATTCACAATGAGCAGCAGAGGGTAGGTAGATAGAAATATAATGTAATAACGTGCGCACATCCGTCGTCGTCAACACACTTCTATGAAATGCCGTAGTTCACTGCATCGGACAGTCCGCCGTCGCGCCGAGCGGCAACGTGCGCGCATCCGTTGAGTCACGTTGCAACGGGTATGAGCCCGTCGCGTTAACAAACATTCACTCAACTTACTTGAACACTGCGCGTCGGCCCGTCGCCCGTTATAAAAATCGGGCCGTTGTCCGTTGTCGTTAACAAGAACTCTTACTAGACGTTGTGATCGTAAAATATGGGAAAATAAATATGCTTTGTATAATACAACTTTGTTGGGGTACGAAGGCCCATTATCAATTTAAAGAAATAAATGATGTTAACACTAAAAAATAAATATAGTTTTCCACTTTTTAGTCCTAGCAGCAATACATGTTGTCTCAATTTAATCGTATTGCTTTGTGGACTTAAAAAAAATTTCATTGTTTTTTCGAGATAAACCTATCAAATTATTATATTGTCGCGGATTCTTTATAAGTGTACAAAGTTTGAATTAAATCTGTCCGTTTAAAGTGGTTCAAAATCGAGTCTGAAGGAGTCGGTTACATACATACATACATACAGGTGAAGCTAATATAAAGCGTGTAAAAAGATAATGCAGATCAAGAAGAAAATGTAGGCCAGCCAATTGAAGCAATAAAATTATGATATTTATCTCATACCAATTTCAACACATTCTTAATCATGCTTTGTCTCCTGCACACATAGAACGAGAAAATTATCAAGAGAATCCTTGCTTAGGTTTTTTAATTTTTTGTAAAATATTCATATTTTTAAAGTAGGTATACTAAAGTTATATAATATATGTAATAATTTCAGAGATAAATTCTTGGTTGTATTGCCTGTGAAGAAAAATATTTCATTTCTATCAATAGCACGAAACCTAGATAAAGAAAGCCATAATAGTGCAGTCATTTTCAAATTATTGCATTTAAATTATCCTCCAATTGATAATAAATGTTATGTTATCAAACGCCAATTTAGGTTTCTATATTTTTATAAATAATATTAAGGTGATTTAAACATAAAACAAGCTATTGGATTAAAAAAATCCTTCTGTTCTACACAAGTACACATTGTATGTATAAAATTTCATCATTAGTTTAGGTATTTATTTAGATTTTATTTCATTTTTCATAACTATTACTTTCTATAATGTAAATAAATATATTTGTTTAAAAATAAAAAGTAGATCGTATTAACTAGCGCTATGTGAGTCACGGCCCTTTGAATTATTTTAATTATATTTTAGGTTATATTATGTATAAAACAAATATTTCTTAAACGCCAAAATCAAATTACATACTTTAAAAACAACTATTAATTACACAAATCTGTGGCTAAGGTCCATTAAGGGTATCTTTGGTGTTAAGCTGTAGTCAGCAGCAATTACTACCTTTTCAATATTTATTGC